TGTAGGAGATGGATGAGGCAGGGGAAGGGAGGCAAGGGATGCCCATGGCTTTCAGCCACACAGCTTGTGGCAGGTGGACAGCTCTAGAATTCTAACATAGCCTTATCATGTTCGCCTGGGATTTGCCCTGGGGTGGAGGGGCTTAGGGAACACCCAGAGGTGCCCTATCTAGCTCTCACCCCTCCAGATGCCATGTCTGTGGAGACACGTCCAGCATGACTGCCGTGTGAGACAGGGTGCTCCTCTACCCGTCAACTGTGTGGGGCCAGCCTGTCCCCTTAATCTCAGAACCGCAGCAAAAGGTATCGTAAGGACACCTACCACCCTGACTCCCATGGTTAGGCACTGCTTGGAAGGGTCAGCATGAACAGAGACTGGCATTCTAGAAGGATCCCAGGCTGCAGCCAGCAGACAGGAAGTGAGACTCCACTTGCAGGCTCTGTTCACAGTCTGGTTCTGAATACAGCAGCCAGCAGTTCTCAGAAACTCACTGTGGCAGGTTCAAGATCCAGGAGAACAGACCAGCTCGTGGCCGAGGGTGGCCGGGCCACGCGGCTGCAGGCGGGGCTGTGACCAGGCCAGTGCCGAGGCCCTTTCTGCACTTTGGATGGTTCCCAGCGGAGAGTGGCACTTGGGCCTCCAACTGTGTCTTCTGTTTTTCCTGTGGTACACACACCTGTGATGTCAGCACTCAGAAGGCTCAAGCGAATGTGTGGGTGCCTGCCTACCCTCCATCAAGGTGGGCTCTCAGAATCTTGGGGAGGGCTGTTTGTAGACTTAGGCCCTGGGCCTGACCCACGGGACCTGAGTAGGAATGCTGTGGTGCGACCCCTGCCAGCAGCCGTGAGGGTGGGAAAGGGAGGCATCCGGCAGGCCTGAGCCCTGAGCTCTGCCCAGGGCAGTGGGAGTTACTGTATCTCCTGGGAGGTCCCTCAAGGACCAGTGTCCACATGCACCTGCTTGTCACGGTGACCAGCTTAGCCTGGGGTCAGGGACAAGTGGTCTAACTTTAGATTGGTGGGTCTCAGCCTTCCTAATGCCACAGCCCTTTAATACAGTGACCCTCAGCCATAAAAGTAGTGTGTTGCTACTTCATAACTGTAATTTTGCTGCTGTTACGAACTGTACTGTAAATACCTGACGCGCAGGATATCTGATATGTGACCCACAGGTTGAGAACCACTGATGTAGATGCAGTGTGGCTTCAGAGGGGCAGATGGACTGTCCTGTGTGGGCAGCCCCAGGGAGAGCGGCGGACTCATTCAGTCATTCTTCTGTTCATGTGTGCACCTTTCATTCCTCATTCTCATTCATTCATCCGTGTGCCCACTCACTCACTCACGGTCATTCATTCATGAACTCATTCATTCATTCACATGCTCATCATCCTTGTGTTTGTGGCTCATCAGCAGATACTAGGCTGGCATGGCTCTGTAGACAAGCTCTGTGTCCTCAGGAAGCAGTGTGGCCGGGATAGGGTGTGTGGTTTGGCTGTAGGAAAAGGCTACAGCAGCAGTTGAAGGGGGCTTACGGGCCACACGCTCTGTCATGACAGTGTACTAAAAAGACTCAGAACTCTCTGGAAGCTCTCTGACTTATAGTTGTAGCTTATTCTAGCCCAAGGACAGGATTTAAACCAGAAAGTACAGAGTGGACGGCCCAGGAGACATGGAGCAGGCCTTTCAGTTGTCTCATCCCCATAGCCCATGGGCATGGTCATCCTGCCTGCACCAGTGTGTGCCAGCACAGCTGTACTGCCAGAGCATCTGGGCTCTTCTTGGAGGTCAATCTTGCGGACTGAGTGGCCACGAGCATGGCTGACTTCAATGTCCAGCGTCTGGCTGGTGAGGCTGATGACAGGCAGTCTTGAAGCCCAGGTGCATGGTGATACTCCTTAGATGCTGTTTAGGGCGGTGGTGTTACACACCTTTAATCCCAGCACTCGGGAGGCAGAAGCAGCTAGATTTCTGTGAGTTCACGGCCAGCCTGGTCTACAGAGCGAGTTCCAGGACAGCCAAGGCTATACAGAGAAACTCTGTCTCAACCCCCCCCCCCCCAAAAAAAAAAACCCTGTCTGTCCGTCCATCCATCTATCTATCTGTTGTGTGTGAGAGCATGCCATGGCATACATGTGGTGGTCAGAGGCCAACTAGTGGAGTCGGCTCCTTCCTTCACCATGTGAATCGTGGGGATCAAATTCAGGTCGTTAGACTTGGTCAGACTTGGTGCTGAGCCGTCCGTACCTGCCAAGCCGTCTTGCTGGCATGGCCGCTCAGCCCCTCTCTTTTGCTTTTTAAAACAGGTCTTCTTAGCCAGTGGCTGATGGAAACTCAATCCACCTCCTGACTATATTTGAGTACTTGTCTTCAACATAAAAACCTAGCATCAAATCCTTCCAACAGAAGTGCATTCTGGGAATTCAGAGCTTGTGTGGCTAACTGTAGGGTGCACTCATTTGCATCCTTGTCTCACAGACGGAGACTCAATCATGAGTGTCGTTGTAGAACTAGATGAACAGCGGTTGATATCCAATCCTGATAGGACTCAGAGGGCGCGTCATCTGCGTTCTGCCATGACTCCTGGGTTTCGAGGTCTTTGCTGCATGACTGACCCGTTTGTGGTCATTCTCAAGCTCCTAGGTAGCTCAGCACAGTGCTGTCAGGCTGTGCTCTGAAGGGGAGCTGTGGGGGCTTCCCATTGCCAAGGACAAGCCTCAGCCTTCACCCGCTGTTCACATTCGCACTTCCAGGCTTTCCCCATGGAGTTTAAACCAACAAAGAAATGCCCCGCTGCTCTGTTGAGTCACCTTCAAGTTTTCTGCTTCAGATAACCGTGTTAGGGTCCCATGAAGTTGAGACTGTCTGTCCTGGCTGGTTTTAGTTAGCTGGACACAAGCTGGAGTCATCTGAGAGGCGGGAACTTCGGTTGATAAAATGCCTCCATAAGATTGGGCTGTAGGTAAGCCTATGGGGCATTTTCTTAATTAGTGATTGATGAGAGGTGCCGTCCCTGGGCTGGTGGTCCTGGGTTCTATATAAAGCAGCTGAGCGAGCCATGGGGAGCCAGCCAGTAAGCAGCACCCCTCCATGGCCTCTGCATCAGCTCCTGCCTGGAGGTGCCTGCCCTGTGTGAGTTCCCGTCCTGACTTCCATGATGAACAATGCTGTGGAAGTGTAAGCCAAATAAACCCTTTCCTCCCCAGCTTGCTTTTTGGTCATAATTTTTGATCTCCTGTCCTTCCAGCCTCCTGAGTGCTGGAATAACAGGTACGTATCCTATACCATGCCACAGTGGTACTCTGTCAGGGAGAATGTGCTGGAGGCCTCCAGGTCACCTGGGGACAAGGGACACAGGCTAGACCTCTGTTTCCTGTGCAGCTTGTGTGTGTGTGTGTGTGTGTGTGTGTGTGTGTGTGTGTGTGTGTGTGTGTGACTGCCCTAGGAGTGGTGAAGTCCCCACCACACCAGCCTAGATAGAGCAGCTGCTGCAAGGCCTGTGGGTGGACTCCGGCATCACAGGAGAGCAAGGCTTGTGAGGGTGGGTCGGGAGCCCTGAGTATCCTACAGGTCAGACCCAGTTCTGAGGTTCATCCCCAAATGCCAGGCTTCCTTTGTTCCCAGACATAGCTGTAAACACAGTGGTCCTGAAGTGGCTCTGTCCAGCCCTGGAGAAGCATCTGTGGACACACATGTACTGCGCAGTACCATTTCTGTCACCACAGGGGCGGGTTGAGCACAGACCCATCTGTGGGATTCATACTAGGAGGTGGGAAACTGAGGCTCAGACAGATGGGACCTAAGGAGTGTGACCCAGGAGATCTGGAGAGACACAGCCCTGGACAAGGTGGGCGATAGGAGCTACATTGGTGTCTCCCCAGGAAGTACACCTATTCTGGCTTGTTTCATATTTTTAATTAATCTTGCTTGTGTGGATGGAGGTCAGAGGACAACTTGTGGGAGTCCGCTCTCCCCGGGACTCGAGGATTGAACTCAAGTTGTCAGGCTTAGCAGCAGACACCTTTTCTTGCCTAGCCAGCTTGCCTGCCCCTTTCCATATTGCATAGCTGCTGGGAGGGACTCGGTGGGGAGCTGTGGGTGGGACCGGCTGGCATCCACCGAGAACACAGGGACCTCCCAGTACAGACCCAGCAGAGGCACCTAAGAACCAGGCCCGTTCATCCTCCTCTGGCCTCCACTGAGGCCCACAGGAAGCAGCTGTTTACCTGGGCGAGGTGCTTGGCCATTGGCGTGCAGCCGGTTGGAGTTCTGCTTCCCCTCCAATGGCCCAGGCCTCCCCAGGAAGCAAGGGCTGGCGTGGGAGAGGGGCGGGAAGTTGGGCCGCCAGTCGTTTTGTGGGAGAACTGAGAACTGGCCCCTGTTGTGTACACAGTGTGGGACCCTAGCAACCACAGGCCCAGCCAGAGCTAATGGTGCTTTCCTGTGTGCCTGGCCACTGCGTTCAGACACTGAGGACCCTGGTCACTGAGGAAGGTGGGCCATGCCCCCTCGGTTAAACATCTGCCACTGTCCCCTACAATCCCAGAGAACATCTTCCCACTCCTAAGCAGGGCTGGAGACCAGCAGCCATTCCACTCGGTGAGTGGTTGTGCTTGTCTCCTCAGGGCCCCGAGGAGCTGGGGGGCTTAGGCAGGATCCGCAGTGCTCAGACAGCCCCACGGTCCTGTGGGAATTGGAACACCTCAGTAACCAGTTTCCCACTGCTGAAAGAGGCTTCTCAAGGGCCAGCAGCATATTTATGGTTTCTGGCCAGGCTTCCCTAGGTCTCCCGGCAGAGTGAACCAGGCAGCCAGCTCCATAAGTTCGTGGTCAGGAGCTTCTGCAGGGTGCGCTGTCCCACTCGGCGGGCCATGCAGGGCAGGCTCTGCCCCTTCCAGAATCTTAGTCCCGCAACCCCACCGTGGATGTCTGGGTACTCTGTAGGGGCTCTCTTAGAACATGTCCCCTCCTGCATGGTGACAGCTGGTGGCCTTGCTTCTCCAGCTTCAACTGCAGAAGTCCCAGTACCTGCAGCTGGGCCCCAGCCGCGGCCAGTACTATGGCGGGTCCCTGCCCAACGTGAACCAGATTGGAAGTGGCAGCATGGATCTCTCCTTCCAGGTGAGCCCCCGTCCTCCTGGCGCTTCCTCTCCCTAGGTAACACTCCAAGTCTTCCTGTCTCAACTTTGTCCCATTCTGGGCCCCACGTCAGCCACATACTCCAGGGACAGCTGAGCGGCCCACAGGCTGAGCGCTTTTCCTCCCACTTCTCTTATATCCCAGGGCTTGGTGGAGGTGGGGCGGCCTAGCCAGGTTCCCTGAGCTCCACAGACTCCTGGAGGCAGCCCCCCCCCCCCACCCCCACACGGCTGCTCACAGCACTCAGCAGCCGCTGCACCTGCCAGCAGGCTTTGAGGCCTTGGGAAGAGCTCAGGGCCTTGGGGGCTTGGCTGCAGCCGCCTCACTGATCTGCAGTTCTCAGAAGGAAGCCCTGCCGCCTGACCCCACTTGTCTGCAGACAGTTCTTGGCAGAGTCGCACACCCCTCATGGCTCCCTCAGGCCACGGCTGCTGTCAGAATAATGTAGATAAGGGCTAGCGTCTTCTCCCCAGACCCCAGTCTTCAGAAGTGCAAGGAGGGGGTGCAGACAGGGCCCTCCAGGCAGCAAACACAGTGCTACCAAGGGTCTGAGAGCAACCAAGTCCCCAGGAGCTGGCAGGCTCCTCCCTTACCGCGTGGCAGTGAGGCTGCTGGGGTAGGCAGCCTGTGTCCTGAGGGACCTCACTCTGTGGAGTTCTGGGGCTAGGTGTACTGAAGTCACCACTCTCTGGGGCGGTGACCTCCGTTTATCTTCCCTCCAGGTCCTCCGCCCTCCACCCAGCCCCTTCACCTAACCCTGCATGGTCACCACCGCGGACTTCTCAGGCCGAGGGCACAAGGGGCCCTACTGGACCCACATTGGCCTGAGGCGCACATGCCCACTGGACAGTCCAGGGTGCTGATTCTTTGCATTTCCTTGCCCAGCACCAGTCTGTAAGACCTTGACCCATGCCAGGCGGCAGTGGTGCACACACACCTTTAATCCCAGCACTCGGGAGGCAGAGCCAGGCTGATCTCTGTGAATTCGAGGCCAGCCTGGTCTACAGAGCGAGATCCAGGACAGGCACCAAAACTGCATGGAGAAACCCTGTCTCAGAGAAAAAAAAAAAGACCTTGACCCATATGTGGGCATTGGGTGCCCCACAACTGTCCCTGTGGCTCTCAGGGAGGTGCCCCCTCCGTCCACCTACCCGAAGTGAATCTGCTCAGTGCCCCCATCTTGGGAAGTGTGTACGGGTGCCGCTCAAGTCTCCCAGGACTCTTGGGTCCTTCTTGGGCAGATGCCACATGCACATATCCTGGGTTCTGTTGCAGCAAAGTCCAAGCATGTGACCCAAGCTGCATGGTCCAAGCCCCAAAGCATGCACATGCCCAAGTGCTGGATCCCAAATGGGGCTGTAGAGCCAGGAGGGGCCTGGAGAAGTGGATGGGGATTGGAAGGCTGGGTGGGGTCTAGAGGGCTAGTGGCCTGTGGCCTGTGTGTCTTGGTTGCTAAAGGGGGCAGAGAGCTGGGAGGGGCCTGATGTGTGGGGGCATTCTTGGCCTAGAGAGATGGGCACCAGCTGCCTCAGTTTCCCCTCGGGGCTTGTAGATGTCTCAGAGAGATGACTGGCCCCTTCTTTCCCCAGGCACTGGTGGTGAGGTTCATGGCCATCTTTGGGGCTCACTGCCTTTCCATGGGGAAAGGTATAGAAAAGTCCCAAACCACCAAGGACTTTTTCTGAGTCACAAAGAGAGTTGGCAGTGGCTGCCCAGCCAGCCCTGAAGGCAGACACGGAGAAAGAAGTGGCCAGTCCGTTCCAGCCACACTGACAGGAAGCCTGTTTCAATATCAGAGTGGCTTTTGCTTTCTGCCTGGGGATAGAAGGGCCCAGGTAACCAGGCAGACATGGGGGCAAGACATGTCCTGGGCTGGCACAGGTATCTGAGTTCACCCTAACATGGTGACAGGCTTCTGGCAGCCTTGGGGACTCCGAGGCTTGCCTGGAGTCTTGTGCCAGCCCAGGTGTGGGTAAGCAGCCCCAGCCAGCCAGGCCACGGCCCCGGAAGGCGCCTGTACTTGGCTCCTAGTGGCGCCTGGCTGAGATGCTGGGGGTGGGAGCAGGAGAGGGGGTAGGAGAGAGGCCACTGCTCAATCCAGAGCAGTTCTGGGCTCTGCCTCGATCCTCTTGGGAGCAAGTGCTGGGCCAGGTGGGCCCGCAGCAGCTCTGGGCTTGAAGCCCTGGGGGCCTCTCTTGGCAGGCCCCTCCAGAGATGACGTAGTGGGGACAGGAGGCCGGCCAGGCCTGGAAGAAAGGGTGGAGGCCTGTCTGCACCTGGCCAGCTGGGGAGAGCTATCCTTGGCACCCAGGCGGAGCTCGTACCGCCCTGTCTGGCCCTAACATGCAGCCTGCACTGCATGCCTCCTGCCCTTCCTGGGACACCCGGCCAGCTTTTGCACCCTAGCCCATGGTTCAGCTGGAGCTTGGGCTGCCAGAGAAGTCTGTGGAGTGTGTCCATAGATCAGGGGTCCCCAAGGGTAGAGCTCGGGGAACCTCAGGCCTCAACCAGTAACCTGGGTTTGTGTCTTCCCTACCCTTTCTGAACTCCCTTTCCTGGCCCATCCTTCTCTCCAGACACCATTTCAGTCCTCAGGCCTGGACACGAGTCGGACTACACGACATCATGGGCTTGTGGACAGAGTGTATCGTGAGCGGGGTAGACTTGGCTCCCCGCACCGCCGACCCTTGTCAGTTGACAAGCATGGGCGACAGATATCCTTTTTGCAGAGGATGTGTGTGGGGATATGGAGGGAACAGGGAAACAGGTCCACACTGTTGCCTGTGGACGCCAAATCGGGGAAATCTGGGGGGCAGCCTGGAGAGAGCCAGTGTGCTGGAGTCAGAGGTGGGGTCAGTGGGACAAAGAAAAGAGTTAAGGAGAGTGACCCCAGACCGCAGCGGACAGGGCCGCAAGGAGTGATCAGGAGTGCGGCTTTCAAGGGCTGCAGGAAGTAGAGAGTCTTCTAGTGAGGCCACAGCCAGGCCCAGATGGACACAACAGTGACCCCACACACTGTCGGACTGTTGTTTGGAGGGTGGACACATGCCAGGGTCCTCCTCCTCACTTGGCTGCCTCGGTGAGATCCCCATCACAGAGTGGTTTTAGGTCACTCTCGGCCCCACCCCCAACTCTGCAAGATGGAGCTGTCTGCTCCCTGCTCCTTGCTTCTGAGCCTTTGGTGCTGGGAGCCGCCTCAATGGAAGAGGTCACTTGAATTTGGCTTCCCTGAGGCATCTGGGCCCCAGTGTGAGGCCCAGGCCTCCTCTTGGAATGATTTGGAGGGTGGTGCTGAGTTGTAGGTGAATGGGTCTGGCCCCCTGGGGAGCCCCTGCACCAGCAGCTGCTTCCAGCCAGACAGGAAACACCCCTTGCCCTCCTGGCCAGCTGTCTGCAGGCCAGCCACAAGCAGGGAGCCCAGGCCACTCCCAGCAGCTCCCAGCAGCCTGGCCCCACAGCCTGTGCATAGGCCTCCTGTGCTGTGGCCATGACATCGAGATTCCCTTAACCCGCGCACGCCGACAGCTGCCCCTACAGCACTGTGTACCTCTCGCCTCCTGCGGACACCAGCTGGCGGAGGTCAGTGCCAGGGCCACCTGCCTCTGGGAGGACACAGTAGATGTTTGTTACAGTTGTGTGGAGATGCAGGGCACAGTCACTGGAAAGTGACCAAGTGAGCCAGGTGCTTCTAAAGGGTTCCAGAAGTGAACTGTCTCTGAAATATGGAGAACATGACTTCAGGAGCCTCCCAAGCCTCGTTTCCTTCCCTGCTGTCCCTCTCCCCTCCTCCTTTCTTCCCTCTCTTTCTCTTTTTCCATATTTCTTTTTGTTTGTTGGTTTTTTTGAGACAGTGTCTCCCTGTGTAGCTCTGGCTGTTCTGGAACTCACTCTGTAGACCAGACTGGTCTCAAACTCGGAGATCTGCCTGCCTCCGCCTCCCCAAGTTGTGGGATTAAAGGAGTGAACCACCACAACCTGGTTCACATTTCTTATTTCTTTTTAGAATTGAATCTTCAGTGGTGTGTCTTGCCTGTTTCGTTTTGTTTTGTTCTCTTAATGAGACAGCCTCCCACTCTGTGGCCCAGACTGGCTGCAAATTACCGGGTTCAAGTGGTCCTTGCCCTCCTGTGCACTACCGAGCCTGGCATTCTGCTCCATGGAAGCGGCATTTCAGACACATTTCTCAACGGTCTTTGGTAACTGAGATGCAGATCTGTGGCTGCGCGTGAGGACCCTGCTTCTATCCCCAGCACCACAAAAAGGAAGCTGTGGGAAATGCTGCTTATCGGTATTTGCTGGATGTGGTGGTCCCACAGAAGGCAGAGGCAGGCAGAGCCCCAGGCCATTCAGGACTGCACATTGAGACCCTGTCTCAGAACTAGAGGCTGCAGAGACAGCTCAGCAGCTGAGCACACCGGCTGCTCTTCCACGGACTCGGATTTGGGTCCCAGCACCACACGCTGGCTCACAAGCACCTGTAACTACAGCTCCAGGGGATCTGACACCCTCTTCTGGCCTCAAAAGGAACTACATGCACGCACACATGCATATAAATAAAATAAATCTTGGGAAAAAACAATATAATAACTGCATGCAGTGTGAGCATCCAGTGCCCTGTCACCAGGAGGCGACGGACATCTGGGGAGTGTGAAGGTTCTGTGCCAACACTGCACGTTGTACCAGAGGGTGCCTGTTGGGTTTGAGTCACCCAGCCTCCGTGCCCTGTGGATTCCCAAGGAAGGACACGGTCTGTAGATAATGGTGATACTTAATAACATATTCTGCAGCTGCTCTTTCTTCCTCTGAGGCAGGATCTCATGGACTCAGGCCAACCCCAGACTTGCAGTGTAGCTGGGACTGACCTTTAACACCTGCCTCCAGCCTCAGCCACTGAAATGACAGGTCTTTGTCACCACACATGGTGTATGTGGTGCCAGGGATGAAACCCAAGGCCTCATGGGTACCAGGGGAACACTCGGCCACCGAATTATGGCCCAGGTCCTTTTCTGTTTTGTTTTGAGACAGATTCTCGCTGTGTAGCCCTGGCTGTCCTGGAACTCACTCTGTAGACCAGACTGGCCTGGAACTCACAGAGATCCTCCTGCCTCAGCCTCTGAGTGCTAGAATTAAAGGTGTGCGCTATCACACCTGGCTTGGCGGGGGAGAGATGTGTGCCATAGGTGGAGGTCAGAGGTCACCTTGTGCAGCTCTCCTCTACCACGTGGTCCAGGGCTGACACTTAGGACAGCAGACTCGGCAGCAAGCACTTCTGTCTTCCGTTCTCTTCTCGCTGGCCCAGTCTTTTCAAACATGGTTTCTCACTGTGCTCCTCAGGCAGGCCTACACTCCTGGGCTCAAGCAATCCTTCTGTTCTCACTGTTGCTGGGACCACGCGTAGGGATTACCATCCCTGGCTAACACTCAGTTAAAACAAACCAAGCTGGGACAGGGCCGTAGAGTGAGTGCTTGGTGCTCAGTTGGTAGAGTATTCACTTAGCATGCACAAAGTCTGGGTTCCATCCTCAGCTCCATGTAAAACTGCGCTGGAGAGACGGTTCCGTAGGTAAGAGCACAGAAGGTTCTTCCAGAGGGCCCAGGTCGATTCCCAGCACCTACATGGTGGTTCACAGCCATCTATAACTACAGTTTCTGGGGATCTGACACCCTCTTCTGTCCTCCATGGACACCAGGCACTCACGTGGTGCACAGGCATACATGCAGGCAGAACACCCATACACAAAAAATAAATAAATAAATCTTAAAAAATATCACAATTCTTGCTGGGTGGCGGTGGCACACACCTTTAATTCCAGCACTTGGGAGGCAGAGCCAGGCAGATCTCTGTGAGTTCGAGGCCAGCCTGGTCTACAGAGTGAGATCCAGGGCAGGCACTAAAACAACACAAAGAAACCCTATCTCAAAAAACAAAAACAAAAATGACAATTCTTTAGAAAGAAAAAAAAGGCATGGAAAGCTGAGTGGCAGGTTCTTTGGAAAACTGTGCCAAACACACGGCCCTGAGTTCACATCCTGTGACCCACATGGAGTCAGACACAGCAGCACACATCTGTAATCCTAGCACACAATGCAGTGAGATAGGGTGTGGGGCAGCCTGGCATGCTCATCTGTGAACAAGGAAAGACCCTGTGTCACAGAAGGCAGAAAAGGAGAGCTTCCACAAGACTGTCTTTTGACTTCCACATGCATGTCACACCATGTGCATGTTATCACAGCGCTCTGGAGGGAGAGACAGAACCATCAGAGGTTCCAGTTCCGCTATACAGTGAGTTGAGGCCAGCCTGGGCTACATGAGACCCTGTAGAAAAGTCTAGGCTATTTTCATTCCATTTTATCCATAATAAAATTGATCACAGAGAGGTCAGAGCACTAACCTGGGACCACACAGCTAGCGATGGAATGGCCCACACAGGCTGCCCATGGGCAGGTCCTGGACCCTTGTAGGAACTAAAGCTGTATCTAACTTGGATAGATCAAGGCTGAGCCTGAGTGTCACCATCTCTCTGTCCCCAGGACCAACTCTGACTCCGCCCTGCACCAGAGCACAATGACACCCACCCAGGCAGAATCCTTCACAGGCGGGTCCCAGGATGCACACCAGAAGAGAGGTATGTCAGGGACCCAGGCAACCCAGCCTCGGGTGGCCCCCATGTCCCGTGAGGTCACCAGACTGTGGTGGACTAATATTTAGAGAAAGAATCAGTAGAACAAATATTCTCAAGGAGTCTTGCCCAGGGACGGGGTGGTGGGGGGAGTGCTGGAGTTGGCATATGTTTTTGTAGGTAGAACCATCCCTGGGCGATAAACACTGGCTGTATTCTGGGCCAGTTGGCAAGCACATACAGAGAACGTCTATGAGCCCACACAGTAGTGGAGGATAGACTAGCTAGCTTCAGGTACCACTTGATCCAGGACCTCCAGCTCTACTGCCCAGAACCATCTTCACCCCTCCCTTGGGCCCAGCTAGGTAACCCTGTGTGAGAAAAGGGCCATCTCCTTCGCCGTTTGGGGCAAGCTCCTCCCCTGCTGCCATGCACACAGCCCTCTAGCTGAGCCTGTGGCCCCGGTCCTGGGCTCCCACGTGGCAGTTAGGCCCCGACACAACTCTTGTCTTGAAGAGATAGAAGTGTGGGTTCTGTGAGGCTAGGTACAGCAAAGCCACGCCAGGCCTGACAGAGCCGTAGACACCAGAGCCAGGGAAATCGCCTCCCTTGAATTTGAGGCCCAGGTGCTGAGAGAGGGCCTGTGTGTGACAGGTCACTGGGTCCCAGGGAGCCTCTACTGGTTAAAAAACTCATCCTGGGGGGAAGGGTTGCTGGCAGGCACCCAAGGCTGCAAGTTAAAGACCCTGTCTGCATGGGGGGGGGGGGGGGGGGCGGGGAACAGTCCAGGCTATTCTGAAACCTGTGGGTCTCCTTAAATGGGGTACACATGAAAGTCTCATGCCCTCTCAGGAGCCTCAGTGGGGTTCTGTGATGTGGAAGGACCCACGTCCTGCACTCTGAGAGGGAAGTCCTTTCCCATCTACCATTGCTTCTTCTGTAAGTCACAAGGAAAGACATGAATCCAGCAAGAGGCAGAAAACACAGGGCACAGCGTAGCCACAGAGCGTTTGCTGAGCGCTGTGGGCCCCCAGGTCTGTCCCCAGCACTGAAAAAAAAAAAGAGAGAGAGATGGGGGAGAAAGACACCCTCACTGTGACGAAGGCAGGCTTCAGGCCCGTCAAGCCATGTCCATCACCTCATCCCTCAGCCCCCCCAGGCTCCTCGAAGCTCTCCAGTCACACCCGCTGGCCCAGCCTGAGGTCCCTTCTGACATCTGCTCATCCTCAAGCACACCCAGTCTAGGCAGATCAGTTAAATCCCAGGTAGCATCAGCAATGGGGTCAGAACCTGTGGTCAAGTGTGGGGGACCCAAGCCTGGCCCAGCCGCTGGGCACCAAGCAGTGTTGATGTGCAGGCCGGGGAACAGCGAGCCTCAGCTTCTCCGCTGACCTTCGAGTCAGGGCTGCCAGGGCCCCAGCCAGCTTGGGGTGGGGGTCCTGCTCTCGGTGGTGGCGCCCAGCCCCAGCCACCCTCTTAGCTCTTGTGCACACGCTGCCAGCTGATAGCCCTTGTGCAGGGTTTCTTGGCGATTGAGCCCTCTTTCACAGCTTCAGTAAAACTCCCAAGCTTGCTGTCAGGGCCATGCCGTCAGCGTGGCCCTGAGGTCGCTCGGCTGTGTAGTCACGGCTTCCTGACTCTTCCCTCCCCCAACGCCCAGTCTTGCTGCTCACCGTCCCAGGCATGGAGGAGACCAGGTCCGAGACGGACAAGACCCTTTCTAAGCAGTCATGGGACTCAAAGAAGGTAAGAGCTGCTGGGTGGGCCAGCCTATTCTCAAACCCAGCCTGGAAACAGATGACTAGGTGGCATGTTCAGGTGGCTCCATCTTCCCCAAGGTGGGACCCTTGTTCAGCTTGACCGGAACCCAAGCTTTGACATCCACCGCAGGCCTGTCAAACTGCCTAGAAGCAGCTCAAAGAAGTAGTGTCTATGACTGGTCACAGTGGTGAAGAGGACAGACACTCGTCTCAGCTGGGACCCCGGCACACTGTGCCCAGGCCGAGGCAGGAGCCATTGAGCAAGGCCTTGCTTCAGAATACAAAGAAAAAGCAGGACTGGTGAGGGTCTGCAGGCAGAGGTGCTGGCCACCTAAGCCTGGGGACCTAGTTCCAGCCCTGGGAGCCACGTGGTGGAAGGAGGGGACCAACTCTCTCAAGTTGTCCTCTGACCTCCACGTGCCTGTGATAGCACAAGTGTGCCCAGACCCCTTCACGTGCACACACAAATAAGTAATAAATGCTGTTTAAAAAGGGGAAGGTGCAGCTGGGCAGATGCCTCAGCGACTCTTGCAGAGGACCCAGGTCTGGTTCCCAGCACCCACAAGGTGACTTACAATCATCTGTGTTGAGCTCCAAGAGACCAGTGCCCTCCTCTGACTTCATGAGCACCAGGCACACACCTGTACACATTCATACATGCAGGCAAAATACACACTAGAAAGTAAATTCGTCTTTTCCTTTCAAAATAAAAGGGAGGCTGGTGGTGTGACTCGGGTAGCATGTTTGCCCAGCCTGTATGGGTTCCATCCCCAACACTGAAGAAAGAAGTAATTTGGCTGGGTGTGGCGGTGCACACTTTTAATCCCAGCAAGGAATCAGAGGCAGGTGGATCTCTTTTTTGGTTTTTCCAGACAGAGTTTCTCTGTGTAGTTTTGGTGCCTGTCCTGAATCTTGCTCTGTAGACCAGGCTGGCCTTGAACTCACAGAGATCCGCCTGCCTCTGCCTCCCAAGTGCTGGGATTAAAGGTGTGTGCCACTGCCTCCAGGATCAGGGGGATCTCTTATGAATCGAGGCCAGCTTGGTCTACATAGAGAGTCTTAGGACAGCCAAAGCTGCACAGAGAAACCTTGTCTCAAACCAAAACCAAAATAAACAAAAAGAAAAGAATATCTGTCGATCTAAATGGCTCTAAACTCTTGTTAGCTCAGCTTGGAAGCAGGGTGGGTGCGGCCCATCGCACAGCTGATCTTGTGTGGTCTGATGCTCACCTCATCTCAGCACCCCGAGACTGAGGCAGCAGGAGCAGGGGTTTGCAACCATCCTGGGCTACAAGACAGTTTGCCAAAATAAAAATATTTTTAAAAAGAATGAATATATGTTCAGAGACCTTAGGGCCTTTATTACATAGCTAAGAAAGCCGTTAGGGCCTCTGCGTCCATGGAACTCTTGTCTTTTCTTTTTAGTTACATTTTTTAAATATATTGTGTACGTGAGTGTGTGTGTGCGCGTGCGTGCACACGTGTGCTTGTGTGTGTATCCTCTGGCATGCGTGAGGAGGAAAGAGGACAAGTTTAGGAGTCAGGTCTCTTCTGCCCTGGGGGTCCTGGGGATCAAACTCAGACTATCAGCCTATGTGGCAAGCTCTTTTATTGGCTGAGCCATATTGCTGCCCCAGAAAGCTTTTCCAAACCTTCCCCAGCCGGAGTCCCATAATATAGCGAATCTGCTGGTCACAAGCCACCCTCAGAGAAGCCCGCAGCTGCTGTCTGCCTGCCCTGCATCCTCTGGTGTGAGTTCTAGCCTGCAGCACTGACCCCCAGAGGATCAGGATCTCAGAGCCCATGGGCAGCCAGGAGTCCCCAGGGCTGCAGCCCAGATCTGGGCTTGGGGCTTCAGCAAAGCCCCTGGCCGTGACCACCCACAGGGCAGCTACAGAATCTGGAGAGAGTTTGGGAAGGCCCCTCCTTATAGCTCCTGGCTCTGCCCTGGGCTTCTCCGAGCCACCCCTGCATGGTTGCTGATCCTGGGCAGGAGAAGGGAAGAGCAGAAGGGCACTGAGCTCAGCACACAGGTGGCCATGCCTGCCACCCGCCAAATGCTCTGTTCTCTTTCAGACGGGTTCCAGGCCCAAGTCCTGCGAGGTTCCCGGAATCAAGTAAGTCTGGGCCCCCCACACTCCCCTGTACCCAGGGCTTTTCCATTTCCTGGTCTGTTCCTGCTGGCAGGGGAGAAAATGAGCCACCAGTGGGTACCCAGGAGGTCCCTGTGGACAACTGTCCTCCCACCCTGGAGTCCTGTCACGTTCACATCTCACCGAGGGGTATTGTTTTGTGCCCACTGATCCCCTCAGTCTCCTCCTGTCTCACTGCAGTTGTCCTAGGGTGGCATGGCTGGCCAGCTAGTCACTGTCCCGACCTCACGTCCTGTCTGCATCTGCCTCCCCAGCATCTTCCCATCTGCAGAGCAGGAGAGCACGTCAGCCCTGATCCCCGCTAACCACAACACAGGGGGCTCCCTTCCTGACCTCACCAACACCCATTTTCCCTCCCCACTCCCGACGCCGCTGGACCCCGAGGAGCCTGCATTTCCTGCTCTCACCAGCTCTAGCAGCACCGGCAGCCTCGCACATCTGGGCGTCAGCGGCGCTGGTCAGGGTAAGGTTCCCATGCTGCCCACACCCCGCAGCAGCACGCGCTGGAGTGAAGAGTTCATGGGACTGTGTCTGAGGTGGTACACCTGTCTACGGAGCCACAAAGGGCACAGCCTGTGCAGAGGGCCTGGGGTAGGAAGCCAAGCGTTGCCTCCAGGAGTCAAACGGTGGCTTTGGGGCTCTGCCGTGTAGCGCCCAGCTTCAGGGAAGGTCTGGGAGCAGGAGGGAGCCCTAAAGCCTTTGACTTCATTTGCTAGTGAAACTTTGGCTTGGCCCTTCCAAGCTCCCCTCCCCCCCTTTTTTTTTTAATTAAAAAATATTTTATGTGTATGGATGTTTTGCCCACATTGTGTGACTGTGCACTTGTGTGCACAGTACTTTCTGAGGACAGAAGAGGGCGCTGGATCCTTGGATCTGGAGTTACAGGTGATTGTGTGCATGCTGGGAGCTGAACCTGGATCCTATAGAAGAGCAGCCTGTGCCCTTAACCACTGGGCCATGCTCCAGGCCACCCTCACCTTTGAAAAGCTTATTTCTCCCCTTGGCCTGTTCCATGCCCCAGCTCCTCCTTGCCCATCTCTGGCTCCCAGTTTGACCCAACACTGCTTTTCGGGGCTACTGTGGCTGCGTCCTCTTTATTTTTATCCCCTACTCATTAAAGGCCTGACCATCAGCCCGCCATGATGCTCACCCTGACCCATCAACCCGCCATGATGCTCAGCTCCTCCTCCTCCCAACCTTGTGCCTGCCCCACGAGAGCTGAGCCCCACGCTCCCTCTTCTGACCGTCTCCCAGCCCTGACATCACAGTTGCACCTGTTCACTCCAGGGCCTTTGCACAGGCTGCCGGGGTGTGGCACCTCCCTGTTCTGATCCCTCCCGCACGCTTTTCAGCCCCCCTTGGTGTGGGCCTGTGTCTCCTTGTCCCTGGGGCGTACAGCAAAGCCCCAAGCTGTTAGCGCTGTGGGTGGCCACATGGATTCGGACAGATGGTGGGACACATTAAGGATGGGGGTGCACAGGTCACAGTGGGCTCTGTCTGAAGCTGCTGAGGAGCACTGTGACCAGGCAGGATTGATGGAGTCGAGACCAGGGACCTCCATGCCTTCCATCGATGTGAGCACATTGAGGGGATAGCAGGTGGGATGGGGCCAGTTATGTCTGGGGTGTTTTTATTTCCTGAGGTTGAAAACATAGCCTGTGTCTGCTCCATAGATAAAGACTGAAGTGGGTTCCTGCACACATGCTCGGCCAGCACTTCACCACTGTGCCCCACACACCATCACCCCAGCCCCTTTCCTAGGCTTCCAGGGGAGCAGGTGGGGCCAGAACAAGAGAACGGACCGTCAGTGCAGGCTGTTGAGTCCTCACAGCCCGGCCACATGCCTGTCAGTGCTCAGCTATGAGGCCCAGGGCACAGGGAGGGTCTAGAAGCCAGGGGCCTCAGCCCTGCACAGAGGCTGCCACGTCCAAACCTGGCTCTTCTCTCTGCCTCGTGCTCTAGCGCTCTCCACCAGAGCAATTACAGTGTAAACAAGCACAAGGAAATAGTTTAGGTGACACTGTTGCTGGCCCGCCGGGGTGGCCGACCCTACCCTAGAAATTAATCTGTGCCATGTGTGGTTACAAGCCAGCCACTCTCCTTTGACAGGTTGAGCCAGACCCTGGCACATAGACAGTCCCCACCATAGCCAGACCCTGTTAAGGGAAAGGAGCTGGGGAACCATGGCCCCCACCCACCTTGTCTGCAGGCCAGTACACAGGAGGCTGACCCCATGTCCACTGCTGGCTATACTCAAGAGGCCTACAGGGCCCCTCCAGCAGGGCTTACATGCCAGGGCCAGGCCACTGCCACCTGGCCAGCCTGTCCTGCCCTCCCCTGCCCAGACATCCCCTCCAGCTGGCTCTGCTCCATAGGTGATCCAGGCTGGACAGAGGGACCCACCAGCAGGGTGCCCGTGTGATTTGCCTGCCCATCTGGCCTCTCTGGGTGTGGTGGTGCTTAGGCAAGGATTAAAAATGCCCTTGTGTTCATGATCAGAGGGCCAGGGGCTAAACACAGCAGCTGGCAGGAGTGATTCCTGCAGCCCACAGTGTGTGTGTGTGTGTGTGTGTGTGTGTGTGTGTGTGTGTGTGTGGGTGGGTGTGTGTGTGGGTGTGTATGTGTGTACTCATGCTTATTACTTACTTTAAATCCATGTTTAAAAATCAATTCAGGGAGGCCAGGTATGATGAAATATACCTTTAATCCCAGCACTTGGGAGACAAAACCAGATGTATCTCTGTGAGTTCAAGGCTAGCATGGTCTGTAGAGTGAGTTCCAGGACAGCCAGGGCTACTCAGAGAAACCCTGTCTCAAAAAACAAATAAGAAAACAAAAGAAAGAGGGAGAGAGAGAGAGAGAGCGAGAGTGAGCCACCATCCTTTTTTCTGTTAGGTCCTACCTTGCCATTTGTCCCACTTCCGCTTACGCGTGCATGCAGGTGCGTGTGCGTGTGCGTTTGCGTGTGTGTGTGTGTGTGTGTGTGTGTGTGTGTGTGTGTGTGTGTGTGCACACGCCTGGTGCCCGCTGAAGCTGGAAGGGGGTCTTGGGTCCTCTGCAAGAGCAGCAAGTGTTCTTAACCACTGAGCCGTCTCTCCAGCCCCGCCTCACTCCCACTCATTTTGTTGTTTTGTTTTTTGGAGACGAGGTCTCATGTAGCCCAGGCCGGGTTGGAATCTGCTGTGTGGTCAGGCATGATCTCAAACCTCTAATCCTCCTGCCTCCATCTCCCAAGTGTGGGGTGACAGGCATGTACCACTCTGTCCGGTGTATGTGGCATTGGGGACTCGAACAGGCTCTTGTGTGTCCTGGGCAAGCAAGTCTGTACCAACTGAGCCCCAGCCAAGTGCCAGCCTTCCACATCTACTTATTTTTATTATTATTTTTAGATTTGTATGTGTGAGTGTCTGCGTGTCTGTGCACCATGTGTGTGCCTGGTGCCCTTGGAGGTCAGAAGAGGCTGTAGGGTCTCCTGGGACTAGAGTTACAGATGGTTGTGAGCCCATGTGGATGCTGGGAACTAAACCTGGGTCCTCTACAAGAGCAGCCAGTGCACTGAAGCATTGAGCCATCTCTCCAGTCCCTACATCCACTTCTTACAGAGCTCCGACCTCTGGCATGTGTCCTCACTGGCCCATATGTGCTCTGTATCTCAGCAGCCCTGACAGGTACGAGAGGGGCTGGCACTCAGAAGCAAGGTTGCAGCCCAGAGTCCTGGCCTTGAGGGAGCTCTGAGTGCTCCCTCCTAGACAGCGCCCCAGCTCTGCCCCTGGAGCAGGGGAGCCACCCCACCCACCCCAGTGCTGGGTAGGAGCAGAGCCCAGCAGGATCTGAGGGAAGTGCGGGCTGTCTGTGCAAGGGCCTGCCCCGGCACAAAGGCCTTCTCACTTCATCTTCCCTGGGAATGCTAGGTGTGTTCCCAGCTCCAGGAACAAGGTGGATTGGTGCCGGGCCAGGCAGGTCCCGGATCTCCTGGTGACTCGGGCACTCTCACCTGGCTCTGATGGTCTGTCTGATGGTGCCGGTGCCAAGTCCTCCCTAGGCTGGTACCCTCACTGGCACCCTCACTGGCACCTCACTGGCACCTCACTGGGACTGCCTGAGGGTGCTGTTAACATCTGCTGGCTGCTGATGAGGAAGCAGTCTGCGGGAACATGGGAGAGGGAGGTGTCAGTGCGGGCCCTCAGGGCTCCCCTGTCATCAGAGGGGCCTGTTGCCTGCTTGGCTTGGCGCCCAGGATGAGGCAGCATGCCCCCTCTCTGCCCTGTGCCCTTGATCTCACCCAGGTCCCTCATCGCCTCAGAATTCAGGGATCAGAGTCCTCGGAGGGGGAGGGGGTGAGGGAAGGGGCAGCAGGGCCTGCAGAGGCCCTGGCAGGTGCGGGCACGTCACTTCAGGGCAGGGCTGGGGTAGTAAGAAGGAATCCGGTTTCAGTTCAGGCAGCCTTAGTGGGGAGTGGGGTGGAGCTCCGCCATCCTGACGGTGCCGAAGAAGGACGTGGATGAAGGTCTCTAGGTGGTTAAGAGGTGCCTTGGCGGGAAAGAACATGTTTGTGGAGGGCCTTGATGTTGCAGAAACCCTCAGGATGGAGTTGCCTGAGCCATGCCAAAAAGAGAGAGGGCGTATGGCGGCACAGGCCTGAGATCCTGGCACTGGGAGATGGGGAGGAGGATTGCTCTGAGGCCAGAGTCAGCCTGGGCTACCTAGTGAGTTCCAGGATAGCCCTGAATTAGACAACAGTGACGGCTTGGCAGCTTGAAGCTCATTTGGTGCACTGCTTGTGGCTGAGTTGACAGAGTCCCTGCGTCAGCCCCTAGTACGGCAAAAACTGGGCACGGTGGCTCATGCCTGTCACCTTAGCACTCAGGAAGCAGACAGGAGGCTCGGGAGTTCAAGGTCATTCTCACTACATAGCCAGCTTGAGACCAGCCTGAGCTACACAAAACCCTATCTCAAGAGAATAAATAGCTGGGCGGTGGTGGCGCACATTTTTAATCCCAGCACTTGGGAGGCAGAGGCAGGCAGATCTCTGTGAATTCAAGGCCAGCCTGGTCTACAGAGCGAGATCCAGGAAAGGCGCAAAGCTATACAGAGAAACCCTGTCTCGAAAAACCAAAATAAATAAATAAATAAAAATATAAAATGGGTAAATAAATAAATAAAAATATAAAATGGGGCCAGGCAGTGGTGGCACACACCTTTAATCCCAGCATTTGAGAGGCAGAGGCAGGTGGATCTCTGTGAATTTGAGGCCAGCCTGTCTACAAAGAGAGTTCCAGGATAGCCAAGGCTACACACACAGAGAAACCCTGTCTTGAAAAACCAACCAAACAAATATATACATATACATATATATACATACATATACACATATATACATATACATATGCACATATGGAGTTGGCTCAGTGATTAAGAGCAGTGGCTGCTCTTGCATGGACCAGGTTTAGTTCCCAGACCCACGTGGTGGCTCACAGCCATCCGTAACTCCAGGTCCAGCGGATCTGATGCCCTCTTGTCCTCCACTGTCATTGAGCACACACATGGTGCACAGACACACATTCACACACATTAAGTAAATCTTAATAAATAAATATAGATATGTGCCAATAGGGAAGGACATTATCTTCTAAAGCCAGGAAACATCATAAAGGCTGAGTAAGGACACACATCCACTGTCCCTGTCACCAGAGGTCGACAGGCCTTCTAGGCTTCTGTGGCTGATAACTCCCCAAGCCCAAGACAGGCTCTGGTTGGTTACATGGGGCAGTGCTGATTGGCTGGGGCTGTGAGACATGCCAGAAGAAAGTAGACTGCTGGGCTGGGGGACCCAGGGTGGTCACTGATGGGACAACCGTCCTCAGAGCCCCGTCCTGGGTCTGGCCACAGGCAGCACCCATCTGCTTCTCTCTGGGCAGCCGGGCTGCGCCGTGTGGCCGCCTCTCCTTAGCCCCGCTTCTTCCTTTTTAGGTATGAACGCCCCCAGCTCTTCTCCACAGCGCCGGCCAGCAGTCATCAGCCCCCTGTCCCTGAGCACAGAGGCCCAGCAGGTGTCACCCACCCTGTCCCCGCTGTCACCCATCACTCAGGTGCGAGGGCGAGGTGGGTGGGAAGTCCACCATCATCCCCCCCACCCCCCGCCTGTGGGGTCTGGATCTTGGTTTATTTATTTTTGTGTGTGTGTGTGCTTGAGTGAGTGGACGTGCACCATGTGTGTGCAGGTTCCCTTGGAGACCAGAGGTGTCAGGTCCTTGGACTGGAGTTAGAGGGGATTCTGAGAACCGAACCCAGGTTCTCTGCAAGAGCAATCGGCATTCTCAACTCTTAGACAACTCTCCGGCCCTGTGTGTATTGTTTATCAACAAATTCAGACAGAAACTGCGTCTGTTTGGTGGTTGGTTTGGGTTTTGGGTTTTTCGAGACAGGGTCTCACTGGGAAGCCCTGGCTGGCCTCGAACTCACAGAGATCTGCCTGGCTCTGCCTCCCGAGTGCTGGGATTAAAGGCGTGCGCCACCACCAGGCATAAAGCAGTGTTTTATACTTGTTTTGGAGTATTTTCCTTTGTTTTTAAGACAAGGTTTGTGCAGCACTGAGGAGTGGATTCACCGCCCTTCTGTTCCCGTCTCCCATGTCTCCACTCCTGGCTAAATTAGTGGTCTTGGAGTGGTGCTAGGGCTATCAGCAGGCGTCAGGGTGACCAGGCAGAAACAGCAGCGTGGGCCGGCCCCATACTTAGGGTGACCTCCTGCCTAGCCTCCCTAGTGCTGGAGGACAGGTGTGCACCTCTGCCCAGGTCTCCCTATATTTATTTTGTATGCCCTGTTAGAGATTCTGTCATTTCCTGCCTGGGTAAGGTCCATCCTCACTGAGTGTGGCCTCCTTGATCAAGGGAGAGCAGGCTGTGGGGATCAGACCCACAGAGTTCCTCCCCTGCCGCTGCCGGTACTGAGGGCCCAGCACCTCCTGCTCATCCTTTTCTTCTGCTGCAGGCCGTGGCCATGGATGCTCTGTCCCTGGAGCAGCAGCTGCCCTATGCCTTCTTCACCCAGGCTGGCTCCCAGCAGCCTCCCCCACAGCCCCAGCCACCGCCTCCGCCTCCGCCTGTGTCCCAGCAGCAGCCACCGCCCCCACAGGTGTCCGTGGGCCTCCCCCAGGGTGGTCCACTGCTGCCCAGTGCCAGCCTGACACGGGGGCCCCAGCTGCCACCGCTCTCGGTCACTGTACCGTCCACCCTTCCCCAGTCTTCTGCAGAGAACCCCGGCCAGCCACCAATGGGGATCGACGCCACCTCGGTAAGCCTGAGGGGGTTCCTGGGCACTCGGTGGGGCCCCAGCTGGTACTGTTGAAGCGCACAGACGGGATCACTGATCCCAGGCTTCTCTCAAGAATGTCCCACTCGCAGCCGCCCCTTGCTGAAGTCAAGGGGACTGGGTTGCACTTGAGGCGCAGGCAGGAAGGAGACGCATGGGACGCAGATTCAGGTTGAGGAGACAGGTCCTAGGCTGGACCCTTTAACCCCTGACCTCTATGCCTTGCTGAATACAGGGGTGGCAGGTCCCATCTCTGTTCAGCTACATGGGAGGACCCATTTGGGAACACAGAGCTTTTCCCATTTTTCCATTTCAGCCTAGGCTGCTGACCTGAATGTGGTGATCAGGTGATCGACCCAGCATCTAGGAGGCCATGCCGCCAAGCGGCTCTGAGCCTCAGAGGGAACCTGCCAGGGGGGCCCAGATGGAAGTACCCGTTCAGGGACTGGGGGTGGCGCCATGCTCCAGCTGTACAAAGAGAATCAGCAGAGCCTGGCCCCCACCCCAGGGACAGCGGACCTGGGGGCCTCCAGCTCACGGGGATTCCCTGTACTCCTCCTCACCCCCATCCTGCCGATGGAGTGCCCCTCCCCTAGACCCCATCTGGATTTGCCCCCACCCCAGCCTGCTCACACAGGATCACTAAATACTCGCGGGAGGCTGTGTGAGAGGCCGGAGTGACAGCTCGGGAAAACCGTGTGCTACACGAAGCCTCCGGGCTGGAGTGGGTTCAGAGTTCGGGCCCTGCCCCTGCACAGCCTGCCTCTGAGGAGCTGGGGCTTGGTAATGCCTTGAGCAGGCAAGGAGGTGGTCGCTGCCAGGTGTCAGAGGGTGTGACCTAGGCAGGCTGGTCCCTGTGGGGACTGTGTCATGTGGTCGCTGCAGACCCAGGGGCTGAGGGGAATAGGGGCAGAAGCCTGTGAAGCTGCTGGTCCTGCCCAGTGTATGGGGTGGGGGTTTGAATGGGTGTGAACATGTGTGAATTCCAGCACGCCTGCAGGGTGCGTGCAGCAGGTGTGTAACGTGTGTCTGTACACATGTATCTAGATGTGCAAGCACAGTGTCAGTGCATGCTGAAACACGTGGGTGCATATGAAGATGGCTGTATCCATGGATATGCACACATATGTATATGTTCATGTAAGTGGTGCATGCTGTGGTGTGTGCAAGTGTGTTTGTGGGTATTTTATGTGTGTTGTTCATGAGTCGGGGGGTGTTGATGAGTGGGGTGTTCAGGTGAGTGGCATTTGTATGCGATGTGCTTAATAGGAGTGAGTGGATTACAGTGTGAATGTGCAAATGTGTCAAGTGGGTGTGCAAGTGTGTCTAGGGAATGCTGTGCCCAATGCTTTCGGCTCTGAACAGGGTCAGGGTTGTGCATCAGGCAGGAGTCCCTGCTGTGGGCTCCAGTGGGACCCTGCAGCCCTCCATGAGAAGCTCCATCAGTCAGCTCCTCCCTTCAGAGGTCAAGGTAGACATCTGGATTCTCAGGAGGGTCCGGGCATCAGGCTGGGGTTCGTGGGCCCGCATAGGAGTCGGTCGGCGAACGCTGACCCATCTGTCCTCACAGGCTGCGGCTCTGCAGTACCGTACAAGTGCGGGTTCACCGGCCAACCAGTCTCCCACCTCTCCAGTCTCCAATCAAGGCTTCTCCCCTGGAAGTTCCCCGCAAGTAAGGGTCCCTCCCTGGGCCCTGCGACGCGTCACTTATCCCATGTGTCCAGTGCTGTCCTGTGGTGTCACCCACTCCATGCCATCTGTCCTCGCCATCAGCCCAGGGCTGTGTACCCACCGAGTAGGCCACCTGTGCCCAGGGGGCACAACAGGATGGGCGAGCAAGTTAGTCACATTGGTAACCATAGCCCCAAAGCTACCCATCAAAGGTTCTCAGGATGCCAGAACAGCCCCACAGGGTGGCTCAGAAGCCCCTGGAGCCTGAAGCCCCAAGGCCCGTGAAGGTCAAGGGGTAGCCTATCAGAGCACAGCTGAGGTGACCAGCCGGTCTGTGGTGGCTGCCCTGCCTCTGCCTCCACCCCTGGGTCCAGTTGTTGGAACAGCAGACTGTATGTAACCTCAGTTGGCTGATGTGGGCTTTATTTTATTTGGGTTGTGCTTTTGAGACAGGGTCTTATGTAGCCCAGGCTGTCCCCTCATTCACTGTGGAGCCCAAGTGGCCTCAGACTCTGAATCCTTCCTGAATGCCTTCCCAGTGCATAGTGTGTGCCTCTGGCTTGGCCCAGGTCAGCCTCAGAAAGTGTCCTCTCCCCTCACTCCCTGGCCTGCTGTCCATGCTTAACTCAGGCCTTGAGGTGTGGCTCAGTCTCATCAGGCCCACATTCTGTGTGGAACTTCTTCAGGGGCTCACCATCCTGGGGCCACCCCACCCTAAAATGTCACCACGCAGAGACTTGTATTGTCCTTCGTAATGCCCCAGGTCCTGAAGTCTGTCCTCAGCCCCAGTACGAGGCAATAAGTTCCTTTCAGGCTAGAGCCAGGAGTACCAGGCAGGAATGCCAGGCAGCCTTGCCTCTGGGGCACAGAGAGGAGGGCATGAGGCCCCCAATGGTGGCCATCCACCTGCTTCATCACCTCATGCCAGCACCTCTCAGTCCACTCACACTGAGCTGTGGAGCTCCAGGGACACACAGAGGCAAGTAGGATGGAGGAGGAGTCCACACCCCATTACATACTTCTCTGAAAAATTATGGGATGTGGTTTGTCCCAACGGGAAGCAGGTTGCCCTCGTCTGGGCAGGCAGCTCATCCCGTCTTGTTCAGCCTGTGGGTCTGGCATTTGACATTTGCTGATAGGAAAAACAGGTATCTCTTGCTGGTGACGACAGGACTCTTGGGGTATTTTACTCCAATGGGAGATTGCAGATGCACAGCGTTCTTCCAGAACCCAGAGGTGCCTGGGTGAGACCACATCTGGCTTCCCATTGGGTTTCCTTAGACATGTCCTCTCACACCTGCTCTATCCCCTCTGAGAATGGTGTCATGTCTACAGCCAGACCTGGTCGTCTGCTAGAATTCATGCCCCATCCCTGAGCAACCCTGAGTCTAGGCTCTGAGACAGAATCAGTCGCCATCTCAGAAGCCCCCAGTACCCCAAACAGCCCTGTCCCCCCGAATGAAACCTCCAGCTGCTGCTGAGGCTGTGGGTCTCGGGCAGCAGGTTCTGATGTGAAAGGAACTGGATCCTGAGCTCAGCCTAAATGAAGCTGCATTAGCAGCCCATGGACACTGCCTTCTAGAATCTCACTGGGCATCTGCACTACATACCACATTCAGGAGTGCCTGGGGTCTGGTGGCTTCTTTGGGCCACTCTGTCACAGAGGAGAAAATGAGTCCCCATCTTCAGTGACCTGTTGGGCCTGTGGTAGCTATAACTCTAGCTGGAACTATTAGGGTGCCTTGGGTGTGACTTAGCCACATTTATGGCCATCCGTGCCCTTTTGTCCATGTCCCAGCCAGCTCCAGGGCATGTCCTTGGTGCGGCCTCCAGAGCTCCCTTCTGGCTTTCCCATGGCTCCTAAAGAGCCCCTGTCCTTCTGCCTGTTCCTGAAAGCCCAGCTAGCCTTGGCTAAAAGGCAAGTGTGATAGGGGTGTGCCCCCCAGAGCCCAGGGTCTCATAGGCAGGCAGCCCTAGGCAGTGACTTGTCTCTGTCCTGTGCACTGTGCTGTCTAGAGTATATCTGGTGCCCTGTCTCCATGTCTCCCCAGAAACATACTCCATCCCAGACATCCCAGCATGCACAGCCGCCTGTCCTCAGCTTCAGGATTAGTCAGTACCTCCCTATGAAGAAAGTGATGTTTCCTATACCCAGGCTGGGGCAAGGGGAATAGGGCAGTGCTTTGGGAAGCATCAGAGGCCCCCTGGGAGTGGGTGTGGGAAGGAGAAATCGCCCCAGCATTGGGGCGTGCCCTCTAAGAATCCCAAGATAAATGCCAGCGCTCTGTACCCTCTGGGAAGCCCCAGGGTTCTCATCCCAGCTGGGCTGTGGGAAGCATGGGCTTCATGAGCCCCAGCACAGAGGCCCCCATCCCAACCTGGGTCTCAGGTTGCAACCACAGCAGGCCTCTTTTCTGTCCACAGCACACGTCCACCCTGGGCAGCGTGTTTGGGGATGCGTACTATGAGCAGCAGATGACAGCCAGGCAGGCCAATGCTCTGTCCCGCCAGGTGAGCGGGTGCCCAGGCCTGTGGGCCATACCACCATAGGACCAGGCCTCACGGGGACCTATGCACCATCCAAGACTCCACTGCTCTGCCCACTGCCTGTGGTCAGGCCGTGGGAGCAGAGGCCCTGGCAAGGGTGACTTGACTTGTGAGCCTGCGGATGGGAGTTTGAGGGCACAGAGGAGGAAGGGCAGGCCTCGAGCACCGTGCAGCGACATGGTGGGGCTGTGCTGGAGGGTGAAGCCTGGGAGGATTTGATGGTGGCCTCAAGTTTCATTTGCCCATCCATTATCCATCCATCATCTTGCCAGCAGGACCAGCTATGGGTGTGAGGAATGGCTTCCGGGGTGGGAGGAAGTGTCCCTGTTCATTGTCCTCATGGCCTTCCTGGTCCCTTCCTAGCTGGAGCAGTTCAACATGATGGAGAACGCCATCAGCTCCAGCAGCCTGTACAGCCCGGGCTCCACACTCAACTATTCCCAGGCTGCCATGATGGGCCTGAGCGGGAGCCACGGAGGCCTGCAGGACCCGCAGCAGCTCAGCTACACAGGCCATGGCGGAATCCCCAACATCATCCTCACGGGTGAGGCTGACTCCAGGAGGCCTGGAGCCTGGGGGGCATGAAGAGTATCCTCACAGACCACCCTGCCAGACAGGTGACAGGGCTGAGGCTGGGTTCGTGCACAAGATGGGGGACAGAGGAGCCAAATGATCCCTGCATCCCGCTGCAAACCCCTCAGGGTCTCCTCATACTGGACTCTGTCCCCACCTCCAGTCACCCCCTCACACTGAGCTATTCCCCTCAGCTATCTCACCACATACTAGACTGTTGCCCACAGACGTCTCCTCACAGTCCACTCTGTACCCCTCTCCCCAGCTCTCCTCACACTGGGCTCTGGAATCCAGACTTTTTTCATGAATTCCTGTCCTCATCTTCAGCCAGGGAGAGTCGCCACACACGGGATAAGCATCTAGAGCCCTCTGTTAGGACCAAGCTGGTCACACTTCAACCCAGTACTCTCTATCATTTGCTGGCAGATGCCCAAAGCCATATCTAGGAGACAGGCCTTTCTATGTTGCAGAGCAGTGTGGCCACACCTCGCTCCATCCAGCCCAGAACCCAGCTTCCCCAATGGCTGCCCCCCTCAAGCCTCCCTACCCACCCCCCTTTTTCTTCGAATCCCCGAAGGGGTTGCTTTCTGTATGATCTAGTTCTGTTGGGGATAGTGTCCCTTCCTCCCGTGGGCACTGTGGCACCCCCACAGTGTGGCACCCCCACAGGAGAGGCCTTATTTTCAGGACCCCTGTATCTTGTAGCGTGGCTCTGTGGTTAGCATCCCACACCTCTAATAGACCCAACAGCCTAGAAAGGATGGCTGTGAGTCTCCTCTCCAGGCCTGGGAACCAGCCTGGCACCTAATAAAAGGAGCTGGGTCCTCATAGGGAGTACCCATGAATTCGTGACCCACCCATGCACCTCACACCCTGAGTCAGGAGGCGTGTGGCTTTGTAGGTGGCTGGTCTCACCCTGTACTCGGGGCCGAGATGAGCCCGTGTTCTGTGTACCCACTGCCTGCCAGCGTCTACCTCGTCATGTTGCTCAGAGCACCCTAGATACCCTGATGCCCCCCTGCAGAGCTATCCCCGGGGTGAGCTCCCCCCACCCCCCACTGCTCCTCACATTGGTGGGAGGTGGAATGGCCTGGGGTCTGGTTCCCTGGAGCCAAGGCTGAGCCTTATCATTTGTTCCCACCCCACAGTGACAGGAGAGTCCCCCCCCAGCCTCTCTAAGGAACTGAGCAGCACACTGGCAGGGGTCAGTGACGTTAGCTTTGACACGGACCATCAGTTCCCACTGGACGAACTGAAGATCGACCCTCTGACCCTGGATGGACTTCATATGTTGAATGACCCCGACATGGTCCTAGCTGACCCTGCCACCGAGGACACCTTCCGAATGGACCGCCTGTGAGTGGCCATGCCTGCCACCCGCCGCTGGTCAGTCCCCGACGGCGCCGTTCCAAGCCTGGGCACGGCAGTGTTCCGTCCTCCTTTGCCCACGGCCAAGCTTGTGGTTCTGAGCTTGCAGTGCTGCCCAGCACCCCCTGCCAGCCGCTACCCTGGTTGTTCACCTCCCATGAAGCCTGGCACGAGGCCACTGTGTACCAGGCCGGCTATCTGTCCGTCCATTCGTCCACCTGGGGCCAGGCTGATCACAGAGGCCACGAGTGCCTGGCCCCCCTGGACTTTGCCCACGCTCGCTCCCTGGCCCCTCGCCGGGGATGTGAGAGCCCTCATCAGTGGTCCACTTCCAAGATACCAAGTGTCGCTCACTCCCAGATGCGCTGCAGGAGAGGGCCTGGGGCGTGAGCGTGGGAGCACCCCAGAGGCTGAGGTGCGCGTGCATCCGACTGTTCTCAGCTGTCACTGCCTTCCTTTATCCCTGCCCCTCCTACCGTCACCCCCAGCCCTGGTCAGGTCACGCATGCCCACCGTGCCCAGGCTAAGACAGCAGAGCAAAGGGACAGACCCGGAGCAGAATAAACACTATTTGGATGGCTGCCTTTTATATTCCTGAGCGCTCTCAGAGCGTGACAATCGACCTATGGCCGAATGTGGTGTGGACAGAGCCCAGGGAAGCAGCCGGTGCCCCCTCTCTCAAGCACCCTTGGCCCACTGCCAGGCAATGCCCAATATGGCGGTACAGGACAGATGGAGGGTCACAGGTCACCTGCCCGTTTTCCTCCTTCCCAGCCCCATGATTGGTCCCTACTATTACTTAGGATCTGGGGCTCGGGAAGCAGCAGCCCTGTGGGTTTGCTTTTCCTTGAGTTTGTATTGGCATTTGGTGGCTGACCCTCCCGCCTCTCTGGCCCGGAAGCATGTTAGCCCCAGTCCCACCTTGGCCTTTTTTTAAAGCTAACTGGAACTGTAGCCTGAAGCACTTACAAGCCGGGCTGCCTGGCTGCATGCCCAGACGTCACCCACCTGCACTTAGTCTCAGCTCCAAAGAGCTGTCTAGGCAAGGAGGAGACCGGGTGCAAGGTCCTGGTGACTGGACGTGTCTGGAAGAGCTGTAGAACTGACTTCTAGGAACAGGCCTTGGCTTTCAGTGGGGGCCTCTGGAGAACCCACTCCCTCTGAGCATCCCCAAGGTGCCAGCCAGGCCTCAGCAGGTGGCTGGTGGCCATGTCTCTATGCTAAGACTCCCTGTGGTGGGGCCGTGGACCTGGCTTGTCTTTTGTGGGCCACTTTCGGCCTGGAAGCTCTGATCCCCACCACCCTAAGCCACAGCTTGACACGGTCACATGCCTCGGTCTGCCAGGGCCGCACCTTTTGCTTGACTGTTTCTCAGTGATGTTGCCCGCTGCCTGTGCTGGGGGCTTGGGGAGTACGGGAACTCCGTGTCCCTCCCCAAGCCACAATGTGGCTGCCTGCATGAGAAAGCTGCTGCCCTTCCATCACCGGGCCCCTCTGTCCCCCTGGACTTGGGGATATAGCATTGATCTGTCTAGGTCTCAGGCCTTTCTGTCACTGTGGTGTGGGCTTGGAGGGAATAGTACGGACATCACCACCACCATCATCATCATCATTAGGAAACATGCATGGTAGTACACATCTGTCACCCCAGCACCTGAGAGGTGGAGGCTTGCCTGGGCTACATGAGACCCTGTCTAAAAAAACCAAAACAGAAGTACACATGCTTGGAGTCTGATTCTCTCCAAGTTGTAGAAGCCTGAACAGCTGGCCTTAGCAAGACAGAGAACCTGCTTCTCAGGCAAGGCCCCTGCTTCCAGTAACTGGTCACTGGCCTTCCAAGTTTTCAGTGAGCTGGGGCAGAAGGGACATGGCCCCATGACCCTCCCAAGCTTGTGGCCCAGTTTTCAATGCCCTGCAGGAGGGCATGTAGCTGTTTTGATGTGACTCAGTTCATTGCCAAGTTCCATGATGAGGTGATGGGGCCCCTGCCACAGCATCCCAGGCAGGTGTGGGGATCTCACTAGTCCTCATAGGCCAGCCAGGGGCCAGGGGTCAGGTGCTGGGGGGTGATCTTTGTTTTCTAGATGTCAGTCACCTGCCTAGTATTTCCAAGACATCCCAAGATGACAGCTCAAGGCCATGGGGACCCCCGGCTGGTGACACGCACATACTATGACCCATTAGGCTGTGCTGGGAGCAACCACCCTGGAGTCCCTGCAACATGTACATAGACCCTCTGCCCACATCCATGCTTTCTGAGGACAGGTTTGGACGACTGACCCTTGAGAGGTCAGATTTGTGAGCCAAGCCTGGCCCTTCTCCCCTAACCCATGTGCCGCTGTCCTTGGCCGGGCCTCAGTCTTGCGGCTTTCTGACCCATTTTCCCGGTTCAGAAACGAGCGGGGCATCTTGATAGCCCTGTGCGCAGATGTCTGTTTACCTTGCCCTTTTAAGCCCCCTGGGGCAGTGGTTACCCACCCAAAGGCCTCCAGACTGAGGATGCAGCTGGACCCAGCCCCTCTCTGTGTCCTAAGAAATGGCCCTGTCGTGTTTCTTTGCAGCTGTCCGGTGGCTGTTCCGTGCCGGGGAGGATTCTAAAGTTGATTGCATACTTAGCCTAACTTCAGCTCTTTGGAAGACTCTTACACAGGGGGGCCCCCTAGCGAGACCCACATGCCACCACACAGCGTGCAGGGATGGCTGGCAGCTGTCACACTAAGCCTGGCGTCAGAATCACAGCCCTGGCACTCAGGACAAGAACAGGCGAAGGTGTGGGGTGGGCACCCTGTGCCGGCGCTGGCCACTGTCCTTGTCACAGTGGGCTTGGAGTTGGTTCACTGCATCCTGAGTTTTCCACTTTCCCTAAGATTTCCGTGCCCAGTAGAGCCGCAGGTGGAGGGGCTGGTGGGATCAGGTCCTGATGGAGCCATGTGGCATGGCATGGGGTCAGGCCAGTGGTGTGGTTGTGCCCTAGGCCTGGCTCTTGTCCCTTGAGGTGTCCAGGTGAGGACACCATGGTGCAGAGTCTACCCTGTGTGGTCTTGATTGCTGGAGGGAGATGTAGTCTTTCACAGACCCCAAGGCCTGCCCAAGTGTGGTGGTACCTGTCCTTTTTATACCCCTTTCTCCTTGGCTCCTGGGGTCCCCACTTCCTTCAGGGATCTCCTGGTGGGTGACTTGGAGACCCTGATCATTCCTGTCTCAGGCATTGCCCTCAGTGTGGCACAAATGCTCACCACCCCATTGGTCACAGCCACATCTCCCCATCAGGGCAGAAGATGGAGGGACCTGTACCCTCTCAAGCCTGGGTGCTGGGGTACTCTCAAGGGCAAGGGGTCCCCTGAACCTCAGTTTCCCTTCCATTGCTTTCTCAACCTTGCTGGGCTCAGGGGCCCAAACCTTCTGGGCAGGGTGCGGACAATGCCAGGGCCCCATGATGGTACCAGCTGCACCTTCTGCACACAGCCTTTCCCTGGGGCTCCAGAGTCTCAGCGTGACCGTGGTCCAGCCTAATCCACCCCCGCTGGCTGAACAGTTCTGATCACATGGGGGACGTGAGGACAAAGCTGTGACCTTAAGTCCAGAGGCCAGCTTTGGTCCTCAGGCCCCATCTCACCCCTTAGCAGGAAACAGAACGCCATGGGCTGGGCAGCCCCTCTGATATATGCAAATGGCTGGTCCCACATCCCTCCCTGTGCCAAGCTGGCTCTGCCCCCAGCATGTGCACTCCGCTGCTGTGGATGTCCGTGGACTGTTCACGTGGACTGTTCACGTGGACTCCGCAGTTGGGGGTCAGGTTGCTCAGGGCACGCACGGCCGCCCGCCCCACCTTCTGGCGCAGACGCTTCTTTGTATTTTTGCGCCCTTTGTAATGAAATGTAATAAACCCAATGTTTTCGTCTGGGTCTCTTCCTCTTTTCCTCTCCCATCCTGGATACCTTGTTCTCCTGTGTCTCTGCCCCATAAAGGCCTGAGCCCCTTTTCAGTGACTGTGGGGTTCCTCAAACTTGGGGTTCCCATCTGATCATACCCTGGACTCTTCCAGGGGTATCAGCATCTGTAGTGAGTCGCATGCCCCTGCTATCTGGATGACTGCAGTACAGAGCCGGGCCTCCTGGAGGGCCATTCACACAGGCCCCTGCAGCAGAGACCAGAGCCAGCCAGTCCCCCACATTCATACTTTATTAGCCTTTCCTCTCCAGGCCAGACACCCCTCCAGAGGGATGCCAGACCCAGACACCTGTAGCTCAGGCTTCCACAGCCCATCAGTCAGCAGTGCCACACTTGAGGTCCCTAGGCCCTCCGCAGCCGGTGACTCTCATAGTCCTCAGGGATTGTGTCTGCAGATTAGGAGGCAACAGGTGAGGATGCCTTCTAGAGCCTTCCAGGTCCTGCCCACTGCCCCCTACCTCGCTCACCATTACAGCGGTAGCGCAGGTTAGCCCAGATGATGTTCTCTTGGGAGAAGCAGAAGACGCCCAGGCGGCCACCACGCATGGCCGTGTCCAGCACCACATTGCTGTCAGCCACTAGCTCAGGACCCTCGTAGAACCGTACCCTGCAAGTGGGACCAGTGAGGTGGGGTCCCCATGCTCAGCCCCCTTCATCGCTGGTTCACACTTGAGATAGGGGCTAGTGTCACAGCAGGGGCAGGGGAACCTGCCTCAGATTCCCTCTGTGAGAATGTGTCAGATGCCCTGTACAAAGGTGCTGGAGTCCTGTCAGTTCTAATCAGGACCATCTGCCCAGAGGCCCATGCTGTACTGTAAACGCAGCCGCAGCAATGCAGGGCATCCCCACCTGATGTAGCCAACTTGAGGCCGGTGCTGCAGGAACCAGCGGTAGGATGTCTTATCCTTCCAGCCCACGTTGCGAGGATCCTTCCACAGCAGCCGCACTTGGGACGCCGTGTCCCCCGTGTGCCACAGTGCATTTCGGAGCTGTTCCCCGGGACCCGTGGAAGACTTGACAGCCTGCCGCAGGCCAGGGGAGCAAGAGGATCAGAGCCCTGTCTAATGGAGCAGGTGGGGGTTATGGGTGGTGGAATATACAGAAGGTCCTTGTGGGAGGGCAGGCCAAGTGAGGACTCCTGGGTGGCCACCACGGGTAGTGGAGTCTGGAGTCCTTGGACATGCGCAGGGCCACCTTAGGGGATCTACTGGGTCTGGTGGCTTGTAGGCTGCAGGTGCCTGCAGGGATAAGCTGGGATCTAGAGAACCTGCGGCCCGTTGCAGGTGTCTGTAGGAGGATATGCAGTGGCCAGGGGAATTTAGGGCTTGTGACCGGTTTGGGAGCTGAACGGGATGTGAGGTGGTCCTAAGGGAGTACCTTTTCTTCCTTCCTTTCTTTCTCTTTTTTTTTTTTTTTTTTTTTTTGAGACAGGGTCTATCTTTAAACTCTGTGTATGCATGTTTCTGCATGCGTGTGCATGTGTTTGCACTTGGAAGTGAAGGCTGGAAGTTGCTGTCAGATTCATCCTCAATAGTTTACCACCTTGTTCTATAAGGCAGGGTCTATCGATGAAGCCTGGGGCTCCCCAGTGTGGCTGGTCTCACCAGCCAGCTTGCTCGGGCTGCCTTAGGGCTCCTGTCTCTACCTTTCAAGGCTGGAATTACAGGGGGCCGCCATGCAGACCCAGCATTTACGTGGGTTCTGGGGGATCCGAACTCCATTCCCCATGCTTGTGCGACAAGTACTTCAACGAGGAGGCATCTTCCCCAGTCTTCCCAGGGGAGTATTTATGGGCTGGTGGGAAGATTTGAGCCCGTGGCAATGGTTGGGGGTGCGTGTGGGTGATGGGGATGGGTGAGGGAGAATGAGGCTGGTAACAACAATGTTGGAAGGCTATGACGGCTTTGGTGGTGACGTTGGGAGAGCATAGTGTAGAGCACGGGGACCAGAGGGCACAGCCTAGCACCTTGAGCTGGATCCCCGGCTCAGCCACCGCCCGGAAGGGGTTGGCCTGCCAGTAGGTCTGCTCCATCTGTTTCCACATGACCACGTAGAAACTCGAGCTGTCTTGGTAGCCGAAGATGAAGCCAGCGTAGTCATCATCAGTGGCCGTGTTCACGTGGAACGTGCCCTCGAAGTCTACGCCATTGAAGGCCGTGTAACCTGTAGAAGGGGAGAGAGGAATGGGGCCTCCCCCTGCTTGCTCTGGACATCCCGAACCAGACCCAGTCCCTCCAGAGGCTGTTCGCTACCAACCCCACTCCCTAAATAAGGCCACACTCCCAACATACCATTGGCCACATCCTAAAACACACCCAAATCCCACTAGCTCTCAAGGGCCACGCCCCCAAGGTCCTACCCAGAGCCACAGCCCCACCCTCCTCGGGTCCAGACCAACCACCCCCTGCCCCTCCACGGCCACACACACCTATGGCCTCCACACCAGCAACCTGCCATTTGTCCTCACCTCTCCGTCTCCCCTCTTCTCCACCCTTCCCGAAACTAGGCTGGCAGGTCCTGCTCTGTAGCCGCGCCCCGTAGCCCCTCCTCGCCCTGCCCCGGCTCACCCACAGCTAGGCCGGGGTCGCTGTTCATGGTCTGCACGATCTCCATTCCCTGGGGAGGTCGGAGGAACAAGGAAGGGTCTCAGGCCGGCCGAGGGCACCTGGGCCCCCTTAAACGGCCACCCGGTCCTGGCCGCACCTGATTGAGCACCACCCAGTTGGGATCGATCTGCGCATCACCCTCGGGGTCCAGCACGACCGTCTGGAAAGCCCTGAAGTCGGTGAGAGTGACCTCGGCGTTCTCGGGGCACACGTCGATCTTGTCTACGACCTTGTCAGCGTCAAAGTCGCCCTGACACGCATCACCCACGCCATCCCCTGAAAGGAGGTGGGACACGCGGCCACTGTGGGCTCAGCTCAGGCTCCTCCCAAGAGCCTATGCCAGCTGCTGGCCACGCCCACCCCAGACCGCACACCAGCCAATAACCACGCCCTCACCACCCTTACCGTCTTTGTCCTCCTGGCCCGAGTTGGGCACCAGGCGGCAGTTGTCCCGGTTGTCGGGGACGCCGTCATTGTCGTCGTCGTCATCACAGGCATCGCCCTTGCCATCGTGGTCCGAGTCCTGCTGGGCGCTGTTGGGCACTGTGGGGCAGTTGTCCCGGGAGTCCTGGTGTCCGTCCCCGTCCCTAGAGTGACGAGGTGGGACGGTGGGACTCTGGGAGAGGGTGTCATGCACCACTCAGCCGCCTCCGTCTCAAGGGCTCCTTACTGGTCTTGGTCGCTATCACAGGCATCGCCCACAAAGTCGTGATCCACATCCCTCTGGAATGGGGTCAGGGGTCACAGTCAAGGCTGAGGACTCAGACGCTGTCCCCACCCCCAAGTTCACAGCCAGGTCCTCCCCCCAAGAACTTCCACCTCCAGGTTGCCCTTGGCAGGATCCACCGTGGCCCCCAACCTGTGGCTCCCACAGGAAATGGCCCACCTGATCCGGGTTTTCCTTCTGGGGACAGTTGTCACAGGCATCCCCGACACCGTCCCCATCGCTGTCACTCTGGTCCGAGTTGGGCACCCTGGGACAGTTGTCAGCTACATTTCTTATTCCTGGGTCCAAAGAAGGGTCAGGCTAGGATGGTGTCGGAACAACACACATCAGGCCAAGAGGCTGGCCTGAGTTTGACCCCTGGGCCCCACGTGGCGAGAGAGAACGCACTCCTGCAAAGCAGGTTGCCCTCTGACCTCCGCATGTGTGCCATGGCACTCGCGCGCACACATGCATGCACACAGAACAGATAAATTAAAATGTAGTAAAAGTGCCGTTCGCTTTGGCACTCTCAAGCTCCAGGCCAGCCTGGTCTAGGTAGTGAGTTCTAGGACAGCCAGGGGTACACAGCGAGACTCCGTCTCAAGGCCGTTCCCCGCCGTGAAGCCAGCCGAGGATACTAAACTGGGCTCCTGAGAAGCCAACGCATCTCCCTGGAAGTGGACGGGGAGCTCTTTCCATCGCCCCGCCCTCCTCCCTCCCAGCCCTCAGCTGGACCGGTCACCACCCATCTTCCAAGCCTTCAAGCACCTCCACTGGGAGATGGACCCCACTTCCACTCCCCAGCCACGCTCACGGTCGCCATCAATGTCCTCATCGCAGGCATCGCCCCGGCCATCCCGGTCTGTATCTTTCTGGTCATCGTTCTTCTGGGACCGGCAGTTGTCACAGGCGTCTCCCCACTTATCGCTGTCTGAGTTGCGCTGGTCTGGGTTTCGAACCAGCGGGCAGTTGTCCTAGAAGACAGGGCAGGTGAAGCCAGGTCAGGATGTGGGGTTCAGATCGCTTCCCAGTTGGCTGGCAGAGTAAAGGCTGATAGCTTTTGTTCAATTTCCCCAGAGCCTACACAGTGTAAGGAGACAACCGATTCCTGCAAGCAGCCGTTTGACCCACACACACAGTGTCACACTGGCGAGAGCACACGCACGCGGGCGCGCACACACACTCACATACACACACAAATAAATAGATACATAAATAAATGTAATAAATTAAAAAAAAAACACTTCCCAGACCTGTGCATCTCCAAGGAGGTCCCGCCCCTCCACCAGAAGCTGGACAACCAGCTAGACCTTGGAGATCAAGCCGCCACCAAGCCCCACCCATGAACCCTCCCATTGCCTTACTTGCTCGTTGGGGATTCCATCTCCGTCCGCGTCTGGGTCGCAAGCATCTCCGATGCCGTCGCGGTCCACGTCCTCCTGCCCCGAGTTGGGCACCGTCACGCAGTTATCCTGGGGAGCAGGCACGCGGGGTGAGGGGCGTGTCTATCTGGCCCCACCACGCCCTCCAGGTCACACCCTGCCAGCCAGTCACACCCACCTTGCGGCACTGGCGCTCTGAGCAGCGCAGCTTCTCGTCTGGGAAACCGTCTAGGTCTGTGTCGCGGCCGCATAGGAGCCCGTTGCCGGCCCAGCCGACTGCACACTGCGCAGGGGAGGCGGTATTAATGTCCACGCACGCCCGAGCCCCGGGACCCCTCCTCCACGACCCCTGCGCCCGCACTCACCACGCACGACCTCGAGCCGTCGCGCTCCAGGACGCAGTCCGCTTTCTCATGGCACGGGCTGGGTGACCCGTCCGGGCAGAAGCGCTGCCCTCGCCGCTGGCAGCCTGACGTCTGGTCACCCACGAAGCCGGGCTGGCAGGGGCCGCACTGGAAGGATCCCTGTGCGCAGGCGCGGTCCGTCAACGGGGCACCCACCCGCGCCCCACCGGCCCCCTTCTCACCGTCCCTGCCTTTCTTACCCGGGTGTTGACGCACAAGGAATTTGGAACGCAATTGTGCTGCCCGGTCTCACACTCGTTAATATCCGTGCAAGCCTGGCGGACGGAGACACGGTCAGACAACACGTTTCACCTGGACGACGTCTCTTTGCAACCTGAGTCTCCACCCTGACGTCATGACCGAGTTTTCTGGACAAAATGCTTTCCATTCCCTCCTGACATACACGTCAGGTTTATGTCCCCCTTACCTGTTTGTTGGTCTTGGCGAAGGCCAGCCCCACGCCCTCGTGGGTGGGGCCGCTGTACCCAGGCGGACAGGCTTCGCAGCGAAAGCCGGGGCTGGTATTGACGCACCGCACGCGCGGGAAACAGGGGTGAGCGTTGCACTGTGAGGAAGGAGCACATAAGATTAGGGGCCCCAAGCTGGACCTCAAGAGCCACACCTTGGGGCTTCCCGGATTTGGACATGGGTTTGTTTTATTGGAGACAGCGTCTCACTGTATAGTTCTGGCTGCCCTGGAACACACCATGTAGACCAGGCTGGCCTTGAACTCAAAGAGATCGGCCTGCCTCTGCCTCCTGGGAGCTGGGAGCTAAAGGCGTGCATCACCAGAACAGAATGGTTCACAGCCAGGGCCATCAGCCAGCTCTTGGCAGTAGCGTGTCACACGGGATGGAGATCCCAAGGGTCGCAGGTGACTTTGCCTTGATGGACATGGGGTTGTGACCCCTTAGGGGTGAGGAAATGAACTTGGGGGACGGGCATCCCCAGCCGAGGGAGGAAGTGGCCGACGGGACGTGCAGGCGCGGCGGCGAGGAGGGCGGCTTTCCAAAGCAGAGGACTGATCGGGCCCCAGTGGTGAGGAAGATGGCTGGGGAGAGCCACCCCCAGTGTCCAAAGGGTCGTCCGGGTGGGCGTCAGTAGGAGCAGAAGGCGTGGTCAGGGGGGGCGTCTGGGACAGTGGTGGAGCTGGCCTGGGTGGGGCTCCCCCGGTAAATGTGAGATCTTCTGGATTTGCGCCTCCGGTTAGGGGCTGGAGGGCACCCTCGGTGGATAAGGCGGTCGTCGGGAAGGAGGGAGTTTGTGGTGGGGTTTGCCCGGGTAGCGTCAGGACGGCGGGGGTGTGGGTAGCCCGCGCACCTCATTAACGTCGGTGCAGTGCGAGCCGTTGCCGGTGTAGCCAGGAGGGCAGGAGCCGCAGCGCGCGCCGTTCCTCGTCTCCGTGCAGACCACGCCGGGGAAGCAGGAGCCTGGTGCGCAGAGCGGCACTGGCCGCACGCTCAGGCCGGGAGTGCGAGCGGGTTGCATCCCTTTAGAAACCAAGCAATTAGCCCGTGGTCGGGGGAGGAGCCTCACTGAACCACACCCAGGGGAGGAGCCTTCCGACCGCGCCCACAAGGACACTGGCTTGCCCCGCCCAGGGTGGAGGCGTTCATGACCACGCCCCTCGAGAGCGCTCTTTTTAGTGCACTGGGGCGGGGCATGGTCGCGCGTGCGCCCTGCCGCTGCGCGGGCCTCTAGCTCCACGCTGTCCAGGGTCTGCTCGCATCTCCCGGGCCTTCTCTCCGGCGTCCAGTCCGCTCCGTCGCCGTTCACTCCCGCCCGCCAGCCTTCTTCCCCAGCCCTTTTCTCCTTTTCGCTCTGTTTTCCCACCCCTCTCCGGCCCTCGGGTCCCGGCTGTGCTCACCGCACGCGTCACACTCCATCACCGTATTCTTCAGGAATGTGATCTCCTTGACCTGCGGGACAGGAGGTCAGCCGCACTCTTCCCTGTGCGCCTCCTCGCGGTCCCCCTCCTCCTCCCACGACCCTCCCCTTGGGAAGCCGGTGCCCACAACTACCCCTTTTCCATCTCCCCGGCTCAGACCCTGCGCGTCCGGTCCCCGCGCTCTGTCCCGCGCCCTGTTTGTACTCTGTCTACCTTGCCCGCTCTGTTGTCGCGCTGTCTCTCGGTCCCGCACTGTCTCCTCCCTGCTCCCTTACCTGCTGTCGCAACAGCTCCCTCACGTCCTGCAGCGCCGCGTTGGTCTCCTGGAGTTCTCGCAGCATCTGTGGGGCCAGGTCTCCACCTACGTCGGCAGGGGCCACTGATGGGGCGGCCCAACCACCCCATCACCCTTCGCCAACCATCACCCATCACTACCTCCGGGGCTCTCCAAGCCCACCCCGCTGCTCCAGCTCCACCCGCCGCCTGATTTCTCAGCCCAGTGCATCTGTGGAGAACGGACCCCAAGCTCCGAGGAGCGGGAATCGGGAGCCTAGAGGGAACCGAGAGGCCTCCTGCCCGCCCACGTCCCCTACTAAGCGGCTTTACCCAGCGGGATCTGGCCCTGTCCGGCCGCGCGCATGGCAGCCAGGGCGAGCACTAGAACGCAAGCGGCGAGGCCCATGGCGGCGGAGCTGCGGCTGCTGTCTGCGCCCTCGAGCCCGCGCCCTATTTATTCCCGCGCCCGGCGGGGACAGCCCCCGCGGCCCTGCCCAGAGCCCGCCACAAGGTAAACAGGCCGGGCTCTGCATTCAGGACCGCGCCCCACGGCCCCGCGGGATGACCGCGCTGATCAGGACAAGGTGGGGTCTGGGGAGAGAGAGAGGGGTGAGCCGCCGGGAGTCGAGTGGGGCTCCCCTCGCACCCCCGTTCACCACTGGGTGCCTGTAGCGGACCCTCGCGGATAACATTTGGAGAAACAAAGTCACAGGTGATCGAAAGGTCCGAACCCGTCCACTCTGGCTCCTACACTCTCTCCACATTTCAGAACCCCGCAAAGGTGCCAGTGGGCGTGGCTCCGCCCGGGTCAGCAGGTGCTGAGGGCATGGCGAAGCCCGGATCTGCTTGGGGGGGGGGGGGGGGGGGCGTGGCTCAGCTCGGGTCTGCAGGGGACTGTGAGGGTATAAAGTCCTGGATGCCAGCCCTAGCACCTCCAGAGAAACAATCCCCAGTAAACGGTGCCCGTGCCTCAGTTTCCCCCTTTGCACTGTCGAGGAAACTGGAGATGCTGGATATGGGGGAGGGGAAGGGACCTCTGCTTCCCTGGGTTTCTGTTCTCAGTGGGCTGCACCCAGCTTTGCTCCCCAGCTGCTGGGGAGACAGCCTGTCATAAAAATAAAAACGGCTGGGAACTGAAAAGTTTCCTTTTCTGTGCCAGCCACACACTGAGCTGTAAACTGCCTCAGTGTCCAGGAGCTTTAACCCTTTCTACCTGGCCTCCCAGGACTCACAGCTCACAGTCTGTTTCAGAGAAGCTGGGGTCCGAGGGAGGGGAACTGACCCACCTGGGGCCACTGTAAGCCAAGGCTGAATCCCAGGAAGAGCTGTTGTTCCAATACGAAATCATGGAGGGCTGCCTGGAGAAGGCGGCCCAGGGGACAAAGAGAATGAAAATGGCCTTAGATCAGTGGGGGAGAAACCTTGAGGTGGCTCCAGTGAGGGGGGCGTTGGAGGATGTGTGTCTAGATTTCTGGGTGTATACATGTGTTACACATGGGTGAAGTTCCCTGCTGGGTTGCTAGTGGGGACACAGGAAGACAACAGTCCCCACCCTGTCAGAGGCATTGGGGCTACAATGGGAGCCAAAGAAAAAAATGAACGTGGGCTGCTGGGTAGATGTCGCTAGGGTGTCAGATCGAGGAAAGGGCAGTGCCAATGTCTTGAGGCCCAAGTTGTCTCTGGAAGGCAATGAGGACGCACAGGGGGTGAGGGAGGCTGGAGGTGACCGTGTTCAGAGAAGCCGGATCCCCAAGCACACTCCTCCCTGCCCGCCTGCCCCACCTCCTGTTTTCCTTGGCTCCCAGCACACCTGGGGGCCGCTCCTGCTGAGCAGTGCTGGAATTCTCAAGAAACCACCAGTGCAGGGTAGACCTGTGGGCCTCCTGCCTCCGGCACAGCCGCACACGGCCCTGCAACGGGTGCCTGAGCAAGCCAGACACGGGGCTGGGGCTCAGGACCACGTGGCTTCGGCCACAGCCACGGCCAGAGCCAGGCCACAGCCAGGCCAGAGCCAGGCCCTTCGGGGAGAGCGTCAGGACTGAGGGAAGGGTAAGGGCTCCGAAGGCAGCCTGGGCTCACTCCTGCCTGCTGGCTTCCATCTGGCAGACACCCTCTCCCAGGCAGCTGGTCTAACCCTAACCACCCGGCTTCACTCTGTAGGTGTCTTCCTGGGCCCTTACACCTGCTGCGTATATCCCTCCTCCACCCTTCCAAGCACAGCAGTCACTGTTGGGATGGGAGAGACAGCCTGTGGGAATGCTTAGTGGGCTAGCTCCGGTATCAGCCTGGGTCTGTAACTTTGAGTTTACGCAGAGAATGTTTCAAACGGTTTTTGCTTTCGATATTTTGTTAGTTTAGTTGGTTTTGTATTCTTGAGACAGAGTCTCCTGTAGCCCAGGCTAGCCTCCAACTTACTATGTCCAGGGATGTCCTTGAACTTCTGGTCCTTCTGCTTCTACTTCCAAAGTGCTGGGATAGCCTGCAGGCTCTGCTGTACCCAGCCAGAGTATGAGTCTCTCCATATTTTCCTTTAAGGAGAGATAAGCCAGCTGATGCCCTACACCCAGAGTGGGGAGCTAGATACACCCCCCCACAATCCCCACTACCATCCCATACACACACACAAAAAAAAAAAACCCAACCAAACCCACAACCCTATACACACACATGCTCACACACGCAACCCCATATACACACAAACACACAAACCCCCCACAATCCCATATACACACACACACAAACCCCCCACAACCCAATACACACACACACACACACACACACACACGCAACCCCATATACACACAAACACAAACCCCCACAACCCCATACACACACAAACACAAACCCCCACAATCCCATATACACACAAACACAAACCCCCACAATCCCATATACACACACAACCCCCCCACAACCCCATACACACACACACACACACACACACACGCAACCCCATATACACACAAACACAACCCCCCCACAATCCCATATACACACACACACATACACACAACCCCCCCACAACCCCATACACACACACACACACACACACACACACACAACCACATATACACAAAACCCCAGGCCCACTCACGCACATGCACACGTATACACACACACACACAGCCCTTTCCTCATGAATCCAGACTCGGCTCTAGCCCCAGCCAGGCAATAGCTGTGATATTCTGGAACGCCTGAGTCCGGGCCAATCGGCCTTCCCGACATCCAGGCTGAGTGGTTCCAGGATCAGGGCCAGGTGGGGTTGCTGATGGAGCCCCAGGGGCCCTTTCTGATTGACGCCTGCTGGGCCAGGAGACGTGTGGCGCCGGCTGCCTGCCACCGCCCAAGGGGGAAGTATGTCGGCTGCCCAGCCACAGGTTGGGTCTGGGGAATCCATCAAGGCAACAACGGGGAGGGTCACTTGGCCGTTTCCACAGCCCGGCCAGATCTGTGCTCCATAAATAAGGAGCAGAGGTATGGGAGCTGGTGTCCCAGGCCTGTGACTGCCTAGGCCTTCAGCAGACTCCACCCCTTCGCCATCCTTGTCACCCCAGACTCCCCTCAGATTAAAGACAACACTAACTACAGTTTTACTGAGCAAGCCCAACATCCAGAAGTTGGCCACAAGGCTCAAGCACCATCAATATTGATCACACACACACACACACACACACACACACATACTTTTCAATCTGTTACACTATTTTGTGCACCATACTGTGTATGTAGAGGTCAGAGGGAAGCCAGTCAGAGTAGAACTCAGGTCACCAGGCAGGCACCTTCACCTTCTGAGCCATCTCACCAGCCCTTATCTGGATTTTGATTTTTTTTTTAAATGTTCTCTTTATGTACAAATCACACAGCATCACTACTTTTTTTTAATTTATTTATTTTTATTTTATGTGCATTGGTATTGTGCCATGGGTGTCATGTCCCCAGGAATTAGAGTTACAGACAGTTGTGAGCCGCCATGTGGGTGCCGGGAACTGAACCCAGGTCCTCTGGAAGAGCAGTCAGTGCTCTTAACTGCTGAGCCATCTCTCCAGCCCCAGATTTTGATTTTTTTGAGACAAGGTTTCCCTGTGTCGCTCTGGCTGTCCTGGAACTCGATCTGTAGCCCAGGCTGGCCATCGAACTCACAGAGTCCACCTGCCAATGCCGCCCAAGTTCAGGGACTAAAGGCGTGTGCCACCGACACCAGGGATTCTTTTTCTTTCTTACCATATTTCAAATTTTAGTCTACATTTTTACATGTCAAAAGAATTGATTCAAGAGGCTTGAACTTCACTAGGAACAGACTGGAATGTTCCAGAGACATTCGGTCAGAACCCAGGTCTGAGACTCCTGTTACAACCTCTTTGTGCGGCTTTCCGGGAGGGTGAGTGAAGCCTCCACTTAGTCCCCTCCCTCCCACAGCGAAGGAGCCTTTGGGTGGGAGTGAGGCCTCTCCCACCTCAGGCTCTGCCTCTTGCTAATGAGGATGAAGTACTGCCAGGAAGCCAGGGATCTGGGGGGCTTTCACCATGAGTGCCGCCTCAGCGTCTCAGGTCCATCTGCAGAACTACACACACATGTATACACACACACACACACACACACACACACACACACATATACAGACTGCACATGCACACACACACTCAACATTCACGTGTGCGCACAAATGAGTACATGAAAGAGCCCCACATTTTAGGATCAATGTGAGAATCAAACATTCATTCAGGTAGTTCTCTGTGTGTTTCACACTCATACAAACTTCACAGAGAAAAATATTAGAAAATAAATTGTATGGTCCAGAATGGTGGCACAGGTCTGTGATCCCCGTGCAGGGGAGGCTGAGGCAGGAGGATGCAGCTCCAGGCCAAACCAGCTACAGAGGGAGTCTCTGCCTCAGAAAACCAAACTGAGAAGGCTCAGGGCTCACAGTTACTGCAGAGCTCAGAAAGTACAAGGAGGAAGATCAGGAGTTCAAAACCATCCTGGGATATGTAAAGAGACCAGCCTGGGTTACAGATCGAGTTCCAGGACAGCCTTGGCTGCCAGAACTCTTATCTAAAAAAACTAAAATAGAGCTGAGGGGTGGTGCACCCCTTTAATCCCAGCACTGGGGAGGCAGAGGCAGCAGATCTCTGGGATTTTGAGGCCAGCCTGGTCTACAGAGCGAGTTCCTGGACAGCCAGGGCTACACAGAGAAACCCTGTCTAGCGGGGAGGGGGTGAAAAACTAAAATAAAAATTAAAATACAATTCTAATGGTTGGGGCTGTAGCTCAGTGGGTAGAGTGTTTGTGACTCAGTTGGTAGGGTGCTTGTGGCTCAGTTGGTAGAGTGCTTGTGGCTCAGTTGGTGGAGTGCTTGTGGCTCAGTTGATGGAGTGCTGGCCTAGCATGCACAAAGCCCTGGGCTCCATCCCCTGCACACATAAGCCAGGCGTGGTGGAGCATGCCTGCTCTCCCAGCACTGAGGAGGTGGAGGCAGGAGGATGGCACCTTCCAGGTGACCTGGGCTACACAGGGAAACTTGGTTTCAGAGCAGCAGCCAGGTGCAGTACACACCGTCACCGCAGCCCTTGGCAGGGAAGAAGGGAGGATCGGGAGCTTGAGGCCAAACAGCTCCCTGGGACTTGTCTCAGAGATGGTGTCACTCCTTGCCTCCTCCCCGTAGTCACTGGATGCTCAAAGAGCGAAGCTCCCCGGCCCATGCTACAGACACAGGCCACAGGAGAAGGTCTGCCGGGGTTTTTGCAGCAGACTGGGGCAGTGGGTGTGGAGTCGGAAGGGGGCCTGAGGGACTCAGTCCCCTGCTGCACATCACAGCCCGCCTGCACAGTGGGGCCCTTGTTC